CGACAGCATTCCATTAATTCATCCGGCGAAGGAGGATTTCTCGCGTGGACAGATACACAAGCACAGGGTTTAGCAGTTAACTCTACGCATTAGTCATGGTTGCATCGCCACTAGAGCTCAAGACCACTTCATTTCTGAACATGAATCGTAGGGATGAAAGAGGGTAAGCGCCTGTGTCGTACAAGACGAACACCCTATAGCAAGGTAGGTTAGATCGAACCGATTACTTGAAGGCGAGCGGCGATGTTATACACCCCATGCCCGATTCCACCCTTGTGTTTTGAACCAAAAGCCAAGAAGTTAGCCGAGATCATGTAAGTACTGGTATTCGATGCCGATGGATTTACCTCGTATAAATGATTCACCGGTGAAAGGCGAAAGAACACGGTCACAGCTAGCCGCGGTCTTGGAGGACGCCTTCGTCCAACTCTACTCACAGCGCAGACGTGCGCACCAACGAACTTCTTGGAGTAAGACCAGCTGAGTATCCCCTCCAAACCCGGACTACACTCATGCAAACAACGGTTCACGACAGCAAGACTCGGGGAAGATGAGGGTGTAACGGATATGTAGATTCCCAATCACACCACCACCCAACTTTCCTTCGACACCCACATCGCTCATCCCCTCTCTGTCCTCTTCCACTATCTAGCATCTAAACGGCCTGCCGGAGATGCGCCTCCCAGGGCCCAGGAGCTCTAGCAAAAAAGCCAAAAGCCAATCTCCGACTCCAACACACCACCACCCGCCTCCACTATAGGCGCACGACATCCACCCCCCTTCCACGCAGCGCCAACAGCCGCGCCCTCGCTCAAGCAACCAGCGCCAGGCTCACGGTGCGCCGAGGAAACAGCACGCCGCCCCCACCCGGCATTCCAGAAAGCGTACCCAGCAGAGCGCGCGAGCGCGCCGACTCGGAGCAGAGACGGCGACGGAGAGTCGTCCGTTCCGCAACCGCACGTCCCGCGGCAATGTTCAGCAGAGCTCGGATGATGCGCAAGGAGACGACGCCCCGCGAGGCTCAGGCTAGCATCTGGATCCTGCATGGGACGAAACCGACGCTCGACACGCTCGCTCCCGCGCGCGACGTGGACAGACGGCCCCTGGCCTCACGCGCGCTCTACGTGACCCACCCGCGGAGAAGGTCCCCCTCCGTACGACGACAGCAAAGTGTTCGATAGCACATGACGATCACGGACCATAACCAAACGCACGATATACCCGTACAACGAAACCCGCGACCGGGGCTCGGCTCGCCGCGCCAGCACGCGTACCCACATACCCACACGCTGCTTGCCCCCTCCGCGCGGTCGCAGTAGATTAGATTAGACTTCTCGCGCGCGCTGCGCCCCCCCACCCCCGCACCGACACCGACACCGACACTCCCGGCCGGAGGCGCGTCTCGCCCCGACCGTCCCCCGCTCCCGCCGCGCGCTCCTCCGAAAGCGCGTCCGTCCCCCTATAGTCCGGCGTGTTGGTTGTACGATGTTCGGGGCCATAGGCCCGTATAGTATAGAGCAAACGAGGGAGATGTGTGGCGCGCGCGCGCACGCGCGGAGGCGCCTAGATGGAGACCTTCGCCATCTGCTTCACGAGCGGCGTCTGCCCGGATGACGCCTCGGGGTGGGACGCGTCGTCGTGCTTTTTGGAGGGCTCTTCGCGCGAGTCGCTCTCGCTCCCGCCGTGCGCGTCGTAATGCATAACAGAGCGGTCCTGCGCGCCGGCGTTAACGTGAGCACGTGGGGAAGGAACGGCGAAGAGGGAATGGAGGGATGGAAAGAGCGTGTGGGAGAACGATCATGGATAGAAAGGGCAGACGCACCTCGTCGACGTGCTCCTTCTCGGACTCCTCCTTGAGCTGCGCGATGTTCTGGCCAAAGGTCTGCGCGGTGGGCGAGAGGCCCGCGAGGGACGACATGCGCTTCGTCGCGATCATCGAGAACACCGCCTTCCGGACTGCAAAGAAAAGCCACCGCCCCCGGTCAGCCGCGTCTCCGAGCGTCGCGCGAGGGAGAAAGAAGACGTACAGGTCTTCTTCGCATCGAACGCCTTCTGGATGTGCGGGAGCAGGTTCGTCGGGCCGCCGCTCGGGCTCGACGGGTCGGGCACGAAGTGCGGCTGGTCGGACGCGAGCCACTTGTGCTGGATTGCCTCTGCCGCCGTCGGTCGAGACGTGGGGTCGATCGTGAGGCAGGTTCGCACAAAGTCCTTTGCCGTCTCCGACACGTTCGCCCAGTACTCTTCTGTGCGCAAGTCGGCATCTAGGATCACGGACATCGTATGAGGTAAGATAACATACCAGGCTCGAAGCGATAGTCGCCCGCGCAGATGGCCTCCATCTCCTGCTGCTGGGTATCCCGATCAAAGGGCGTGTATCCTGCGCATACGTTAGAAGCTGGATGTGTGGGAGTGAGTATGTTAACTGACCACAGAGGAGGAAGTACGTGATGACACCCATCGCCCACACGTCCACCGGCTTCCCATGCCCGGCTACACAAACATCAGATTGAGGGTCACGACGGGTGCGAACAGAACGACGCACTCTTCTTGAAGATCTCCGGTGCCATGTACTGCGGGTCACGGATGTTCGTATCAGTAGAGCGCAACGAGTCGAGAACGGGACGTACGCCAGGCGTTCCGCAAATCTCGGTGAGCATCTGGAACTTCTCGTCGTCCATCACCCGACTGAGGCCAAAGTCTGCGATCATAATGTCCGCATCCTCTGCTTTGGTCCGGAACAGGAGATTCTCCGGCTTGAGATCTAGTACACAGATTAGCTTCTCGGTGTGCCAAGCCCGGGAGAAGGGGGTGGACGCGCACCTCGATGTACAATGCCACACTCGTGGATGTACTTGACTGCGCCAAAGATGGTACGCACGAGCGCAGCGGCATCTCTGTATTACCGCATTCATCAACGGTGACCTTGGTGACGGGGGGAAAGGGCACGCACTCTTCGTAGTAGTTGCCCTTGGCACATATACGGTCGAAGAGCTCGCCGCCGGTGCAGAGGTCAAACACGAGGTAGAGGTTGTGAGCGGTCTGGGGGAAATGGTTCGGAAGCGTCTCGGACAAAGGCACGGAACCGGACGCACCTCGAAGTAGTCGTGCAGGGTGACGATGTTCTTGTGACCTTTGGAGATCTTCTTGAGCACCGCGATTTCGTTGCGCACCTGGGGAAAGAAGCGAGGGTGTTAGCGGGGAAGAGCTGCAGGCGGCGCGGCAGAGATGGGAGCGATAGCAGATCTGGGCGAGCAGGGCGGGCGGCGGAGGTGAGGGGGTGGGGACGGACCATGTACTCGCGGCCCTCCATGAGCTTCTTGTTGATGACCTTGCAGGCAAAGTACTCGCCGGTCTTGATGTGGACGGCCTCCTTGACGATGGCGTACGTCCCGCTGCCGAGCGACTTGCCTGTGCGATACTGCGAGGGTAAAGGGGACTATCAGCGGGAGGGGGCGCGGGGGACGGAGGAGAGGGCTGACCTGACAGGGAACGGTAGCGGGAGAGGGCATGATGGCGGAGGGGGCGGGTGTATGCTGCTGGGCGGGACGAGGAGATGGCGGGTGAGGAAGGGGAGGAGGAGGAGGAGGAGGGGCGGGTGCGAGAGAGAGAGAGAAGAAGAGAGTTAGAGCTGGTAGAGGTAGATGCAGAGATAGATATAGGACGAGATCAGACACTGACCTCCTTCTCCTGATCGGCGCCCCTCCGCCCGTCCCCCGGCCCATCTCCGGCCTGTCCAGCCTGGTGCTGCGCTGGTTCCCCGCCGGACAGGCCGTGCGGTGGCCGCGGCGGCGAGGGAGGCGGCGCTGCTGGCGGCGTCGAGCCGGGCGCATCGACCGACTCTGCCGCGGCGGTCCACGTCGCTGCCCCCGCCCTTGCTTGTGTCGCTGTGCGCTGGACGTCGTGGCTGCTCTGCTGTCGTGCTGTGTTCCCCTCCGAGCGGCTGCGCGCACTGCGGTGTTTGCTGACCTGCGAGCCCATGGCGAGAGAGAGAAGGAGAGGTGGATTGTGGCCGCGCGGACGCAGCCCCTGATGTTTTATATCGACCCGCCTTCCATTTCAGCAGACGTCCACACCGCATGCGGACGGATCAGGCAAGGACGGTTTGAATATTCCAGTCCGAGTTAAGCGTTCCGGACAGCTCTCCTCACTCGAGGGCAGTGCCCACACTGCTCCCGCAGCACCCGACCCCTCCAACTGCAAAGTATTGTAATACGCCAGCTTGTCCTATTTCATCTGCAGGCGCTCGGGACCTTGACCTCCTATCGCGAAGCCCCCGTGAGTCATCTCCGTCGCGCGCAGGTTCTCTTGCATCTCCAGACGCCCCCCAAACCCATCGCGCCGGCCGAAATGACTCTGCGACCGTCAGTGTTCAGTTCTCGCCGCAGACTGCCAAGCAACGGCACGCCATGGCTATGCGTCACCGTCCACGGACTCGCGAAGGACGTGCAACGTGCAACGTGCGAGCACAGCGCGTCGCTGCGACGCCCACGACGTCTCGGCCAGTCAGCCGATCACTCCGGAGGGCGCGGGGCCTGTGCGCTCGTCCGGGGGCGTATGTAACGGAAAGCAGATTACATCGTGCTCGGTCCGCACCGCACCATCTCCGAGTACTGACTCTCTGGAATTGTTGTATGTCAGGAGAGACCGGTCGCTGCGGGACTTCCATCGAACACTCTTCCGGCGATCCAACCAGTCCCGGGTCTTGTTCTGGCCAGATGTCGTACACGGGTACCCAGGACCACTGGACATACTCTTCCGCGCCTTCAGGCCCCGCGCAATGTTCTGTGTCAAACACTGACTTGTAGAAGGAAGTATTGGATCGTGGACATCCATCACACGAGGCAAGGTTCGCCGTATTGCACTCGCAGACGAGAGATATTGCAGCTGAATATTCGTGTTAGGGCGCTCGTCAGGTCCCCCTCTACGTTTACGTACCTAAGTATTAATATTTACTGTTCCCCATGTGATTGATTGGTGCTACACGAGCTGTATCCAAAAAGCGACCAACCTGGGAGTCGAACCCAGAATCTTCAGCTAATTTCACCGGAAACTGACGCCTTAACCATTAGGCCAGCCGGCCACACATCAACAGATAAAGCCATAAATATATTCAGCTCAGGCGGTGTCAATCATGCTGTTGTGGTCGGGCCAGTCTGAGTTTGGCAGAGTCTTACTCCAAGTTCGTTGACCTGCGTTGTATGTAAAAGCAGTTTGATACAAGGCGTCCTCCAAGACCGGATCGTAAATTATCCTAGCCGCGACCATGTTCTTTCGTCTCGCACCAGTGAACTATCGTATTTTAGAGGCAGGTCAGTGACATCGAATACCAGTGTGATCTCGGCTGACTTCTTGGGTTTTGGTTCAACCCAGGGTGGATTCAGACCCGGGTGCGCAACATTGCCGCTCACCTGCAAGTGGTTCAATCTAGCCTTGCTAAAAAAAACTACGATCCATGTTCAGAAATGAAGTGGTCCTGAGCTCGAGTGGCTATGCAACAAATACTAATGCGTGGATTTAACTGCTAAACCCTGTGTTGGTGTATCTCTTCACGCGAGAAAAGTTCCTCGGATGGGATGCCGTCGCGTCTGACGCGCAGCATTGAGCCTCACTTGATCGCTCGTTTAAGTCGTTTATTCGAATGCATCACAAACCTAGCAGACATCAAGTAACGTAGGGGACTCAACCCGTATGATCACCCGGCATCACATTGCGGCGTTAGCG